AGGGCCTCGCTGGATAGCATGGCGTTGCTGGATAGGATGAGATGCTGTCACCGAACCTTCGTATGTGGCTGAATGAAATACAGTCGACAGCACTTTTTGAGAACACTATTGCACACGATCCGAAAAGAATGGGAACCTTGCAGACACGCTGATAATATTGGCCCTTTATTCAACTTGCTTTTTAAGTCTCTTAGCCTCGCCCGCTAGGCATTACTATAACATTCGTCGTGCTGCTCGCGTGTCCTATCTTGCCATCGCTCTACTTCCTCGCCGTTCTTCTTCCTTATGAGCGTTATTCCTTGCACCTTCAAGTCACCGGCCTTCTTTATCAAATGTCGAGAGCAACGAGATCCGAATTATCCACCGCAGACTCTGAAAGAGTGCTTTCCCGCTTCTTCCACTTCAGCGCCGAATTAGCAGTGTTCCTCGATGTTTCTCGATGGTGGAGGCATCCTATTGACCGAAGAGAAAGCTTGGGAGCTATTTGTAAAGCTCGCTCTTGAAAGTGAACGCCGCAAGATCTTCGAGCGTCGTGGTAATATGCTTTCGATCGTACTGATAATGCACCGCAGTTAGCTGGAATGTCTCGATGCTCAACGACGGCTGCTGCAGTCGTAGCTGGTGCCTACCTTTCTGTCATCTTTCCGAGCGCCCGTCTGCTTTTGATCCCTTAGCTTGTTTTCAATGACGCTGCAGCAAGAGATTTGACGTACGAACTTGGATTATTGGCATCAGCTGGTAATCTGTCGCGTATGCGAGGGAGTGGAGAGGAGCTTGGAGACGATGAGGTCGCTGCTCTGAGGGCCGAGAGAGTGAGAGAGTGAGAGAGTGAGAGAGTGAGAGAGTGAGAAACTGAAAGACTGAGAGACTGAGAGACTGAGAGACTAAGAGACTGGGAGACTGGGAGACTGAGAGACTGAAAGACTGGGAGACTGGGAGACTGAGAGACTGAGAGACTAAGAGACTAGGAGACTGAGAGACTGGGAGACTGAGAGACTGGCTGGGTGTCTGAATCCTTACACTGAAGAAAGGAAGATGCTACGAAGAAGGAGCAGCAGATATCAATCAGTATGTTATAGTCAGAGCCCCATTCCTTCATAGCTCTCACTTCTTCAGTCCCCCTTCCGAGGAATTTCGTGATATTACTAGCGCCGGATATCAAGCTGTCGCTCGCCGCTCTGAATAAAGAGGTCGCGGAGCTTACGCGGGCCGCAGGTTTCTTAGTATTACCCTTATGACGTTCGTCTCTGACATACCACCCAGATACTTTCATCATGCTCATTATTGTTATTATCATTATCAGCTAGCGTACGCCAGTCAGCCAAGATTTCTCATCTTCCGTCCTTTTATTTATCTGTTTTAAAGACTTTCTTTCCCTTCATATTACTCTTTTACTTACCTTTTATCTTTGCGTTTTTTCTTTTCGCGAGAATGCTTGGCACGTTAAAGGAAGACATCTGCGTATCGTAATGATCTAGCCCTCGCTTACGTCGTGCATTTTCGTCAGGTTGCCTCGAGCATCTGCCCTAGCTTTTCCCTCTAGTGCTTGGCCCAGACTTTTTACTTCGAGCACTTGCTTTAGTTTGCTTCTTGCACCTGCCCTAGCCTTTGCCTTTGCTCTCGCTCTTAGAGTCGCTCTTGCTCTCAGTCTTGCTTTTGCTCTTGCTCTCGGTTCTGGCCCTGCTCCTGGTCCTGGCATTGCTCTTGCTTCGGTCTTAGTATCGTTCTTAGTGCCGCTCCAATTCTCTGTCTTATATAAACGAACAGAATTCCAGCGTCAGCTCCAGCGTCAGGGTCTGCATCAGGGTCTGCATCAGGGTCTGCATCAAGGTCTGCATCAGGATCTGCATCAGGATCTGCATCATGGTCTGCATCATGGTCTGCATCATGGTCTGCATCATGATCTACATCATGGTCTGCATCATGGTCTGCATCATGGTCTGCATCATGGTCATTTTCCGGCGTGGGATTCTGGCGCCTCGTCTTAAAAGCTATGAAACTGTTCCGACGCGTTCTCGAAGTCTGTCTTCTATATCATCATCGGTATCTTCCTCTTCCGCAACGTGGTCATCAGCTTTTCAATCATATGCGCAAAGGGGTGGTCGTCTTGCAGCATCTTTCTTAGCTGCGTTGGTTGCTTTGCTTTGAAGTGGCTATCTGTGCCAGCGTTCGGCGTGGGGTTCTGGGAGCCATTATTATGGTCGATGGGAATGGAGCTTTAAAAGTGGAAAGGCAAATAGTGTTTATTTAGAAATGGATTAACAAGGAGTTTGACGTCAAAAGCTTGATAAATGGGGAATAGAATACTCTAGTATCTAGTATACAATAATCATCGGTTGACTTAAATATATCGGAGCCACCAAAGCGGGGCACGCACCCGGGTCACTCATCCGGATCACCCACCCGGGACACTCACCCCGGACACCCACCCGAC